TGATATTGATAATTTGATAATAAATCTTGATGCTCTGTTCTCAAAAAACAATTATGGTACTCCGAAAACTTACATTTATGAAGATAGTTTATAACAAATAAACTATAAACTATAGACACTATTAAAAAAATACTTACACTTTTCTTCATCCAGAATCAAAAATTAAGCCTCTCCACCAGTTCCTTCAAAATTTAAAATCAGGGAAGTAAAGCCTGCATCATGCATCTGGTAAGAAATTTACTTAGCAACTGGCCTGCCAGCTATATTGACGATAACTTCATAGTAAATGTTAACACTTGATGTTTCTTTTCCATACTCGTTTGACTGAGAATTCCTTTTATTTTAATGGAGGTAGAGAAACTCTACATCAAAAGAAATTGTATTGTTACTGCTGATTTTAGGTGGACTACCTGTAATTTTTAATTAATTGCATGAAGATAAGGAATTGAATCATTTTATGAGTAGAATATGCAATTTCACATAGTAACCTTATAGATTGTATTTCAGATGAATTTCAAGTTCACATTCCTGAAAATCAAAAATATCTCCTTCTAGTCAGTGCTTTATAGTTTTCCAGCTTAACCTCTTCTGTTAAGCACATGGACTTCTTTAAGATAATAAAGAAAATAATACTACTATACCAACATGTTAAAGAATATACCTTCTGCAAAGAAATCTGCCTACAGCCGTGACTTTAAACACCACTTTTACACGGACTGTGCTGTTAAAACCAAGCATTCAGGGCTCTGGACAAATATGTGCTGGTCCACACAACTGGCTGTGTCAAAAACTAAGACTGGATTTAAAAAAAAAAATTTGTTTGTAAGGTTTTTCTCAGTACCACAGGAAAATCCAGGCTGGAAGGGACCTTAGGATGTCTTTAATTCAACCTCCTGCTCAAAGCAGGGTAGGCTCTGAGCTCAGAGCAGGTTTCTAAGGCTAGATCCAGCTGAGTCTTGAGAGCTCTCAAGGGTGGAAACTGCACAGTCTCTCTTGGTAACCCACTTCCCACCTGTGCTTGTGGAGAGAATATTTCCTTATGTACCATCTGAACCTTTTCTGTTTCAGTTAATGCCATCGTCTCTTGTCCTTCTGGCATACAGCAGTGCTGAGTTTAGCCCCATCTCCATCATCTTCCTCTAGATTGTAGAAGGTCGCTATTATATCATTCCAGAGCCTTCTCCAGACTGAACACACTCCATTCTTTCAAACTCTCAGTGACAAAGGTTAAAAAAACTTCATTCTCAGTAAGAGTAATGCAAATTCAAACATTTATTACAGAAGTGATGAATGTCTGCTTGCCCAGCATCACAAAAGGAAGAAGATAGAAACTAACAAATCTGGAGTGGAGCAAACTGACACCAGCAGCAGAATAGAGTTCCAGAACAAAGGAATGAGAAAGATGATGAAGAATTACCTGAATTCACTTAAGTTTTGGCCCCACAGGGCTGAACAAAAGAAAATCTCACTCTGCCTTCTAAACTAGAGGAGAGCAGCAGAGTTGTGCATTAGGTCAGCCAGGCCTAGAGGACACTAGAGATCAGAGGAGTACACAAGTGGATGTGCTACAGTCATGCCCTTCCCCTAACTTCTTTAGGCAGAGCCATTCAGTCTAAACGAAATTAAACAAGTGGACGTTATTTGCATGGCAGTGATGTCTCTGAATCCTAATGGAAATTATTCCAATCAGAACCTTGTAGACTTAAACCCTATTTGTACACCAGGAAAAACAACTCTCTGTTCTTACCAGGAATACTTTTCTTTTCTTTTTATCAATATGGTATATGCCATGCTCTAATAGGCAAACTGAATTAGCAGTAGCTGTGTATATGCTGAGAAGTTATATGCTGCCCTTCATTAATGCTTCAGGTATACTCTAAAATAAAACTCAGAACACACTGCAGACCTCAAGGGAACAAGTAAATGAGTAACTCTGTTGGAATGGTATAATGACATTAGTTTGCAAAACTGGTAATAAACTACGGGCCAAAATGCACAAAAAAAAACCCCAATAGGTAAAACTTACTGATCATTTTTAAAGATAGTTTCAACTATTCTCATGTTGAGTTTTGAATCCTCTGATGTACACACCAAAGTGTGCTTTCCCTAAGTGTAATGCTGGATTTTCCTCTGCAACAGCATATGGTAATACTTCCTAAATTGCCCTTCTGCAACAGGTGCTCTATTTTATGATGTAATTTTACCTGGACCTTTAAATGTATAAAGCCATAAAATAATGAGGTTGTTTCCAAGGTAAATGGGGCCACCCATTCACTTCATCCTATGTTAGAATGGGAGGCATCAAGGTGCAAACATGGCAGTGACTATGAACATAACATATCAGGGTCACATACTGCTTTGATTTATGCTCAACTACCACCTAAAGTCAGACTTTCAAGATGAAGTTTGGGCATTTAATCTCTTAACTGCAGCCATCATTGCATGTGGGTCGCCACAATTCATTATCAAAAGAGCCACAGGCAGCACTGAGTGCCTTGAACTCATAGAACTGCCTGATGAGCTTATCCAGCAGCACGAAGAACTTGTGTCACTGTGGAGACATGAGCATGCCAGCCCTCATATCTGTGGCTTAAGAAGGCTGATTGTGCAAATTTTACAGAGAGAATTTACCGCTTGGCTCCTTCATTCTGACACTGAAGGACCTGCCCTCAAACCTACTGATAACTTTCAGCATTATATATTCAGCTATGATTATTCATTTAAGAAAATGGCATTACACAGGGAAGCAACAAAAATGTCTGTTCCAATTCTTTACCATTCCCACATCTCCTAATTTGTTTCAAAATGCCTGAATAAATGCAGAGCACCTGAGTGTTTACAGTTTAATTAACTGATTTACCTCCTCTCCTAACATTATCCTCCCAGGGATAAATTAATGAAATCCATCTGAATTATTTTCATGTATCTAATTAAACAAAGGATATGACCTATGGACTATTTTAACAAGATATCAATTGCGTTAAAGCTACCTCATGACTTTGCAATCTTCGCTTTTACCTATGGCTTTGCAGCATATTTCAGTGCTCTATTTCCATGGGAAAAAATCAGCATATCCAGTGGATCACACACAAGCACTAGGCCTGTCAGTAACAATCAGTGCACTAGGTGGACAAGGCAGAGACTGCAGAAACTGGAGGCGTAATTCATTTATTATACATTACTTTAAACAAGACAGAAAGGGAGGGTTGTGGTTGAGCTGGAAATAGTTCAAGGAAAAATGGAGGGTTGTGACTAAACACAGGAAATCATGAAGGGAGAGATGAAGAGACAAGGAGGTGGAACAATACTGTTGATTAGGTTATTTATAAATGTATGAGGTTTTACATAAGTATGATGATAATCAAATCGTAATTTTCGGTACCTTTGATAAATGCTCTACAAACACACAGTGACAGCCAGAACCCTGGAGTCTGAACAGATGAGCAAATGAAGGCTAAAGGGCTCAGACAGCACTGACTTGCCCAAGGCCACATCACTTCCAAGTAGCAAGAGTGTCCTTTTACTGCTGTAGCTATTGCTTCCTTCCATGTCTTCTACAGTAAAAAAGATAAAGTGAAGGTTGGGGTTTGTGCAGGTAGAAGAACACAAGGAGATGTCAGTGCTGCTTTGAGCAGACAGGTTGGTACGTCTATGGTTTCTCTGTTACTCATGTAAGGCCATGCCAGAGGATTCCTTACAGGTGCGGGAAGACACCCTGGAAACAGGAGCCCTGCCCTCTTCTCTTGACACAGGTATATCAGAAGTGATATAAAACACGACAGTCTGCCCCTTCCTTGAGATGCTCCATTCTGTCTCTGAGCATTGTGGCTGAGGGAGCTCTTGGGTATTTTCCCAAAGTAGTTTCAGACCGGTTTTCTGCCATGGCTGGTCTGCCACTCTCCAGCTGCAGGGAGGGCAAATGGGGCTATGACACCATCCCAAGTTTCCTCCACCCTAGCCCTGCCACTATGAGTAGCAATTGCATCACTGCCAGAGCCACCCAGGGGACAGAATTGCTGGATGTGAGGAACACTTGCCATCAGCAGCAGAGAGGAGCTGGGGAGACACCTGCCAGTGACATACCTGTTGTGCCTATATACTCCATCTGCTAAAGTGACCCAAGGAAAGCAAATAGCTCAGCCGTGGTTTTCCTCAGCTGTTAACTCTGGCATCAGACTGCAGCTGTGCAGTTCACAGTCAGCCCAGTACACAGACCTTCCTCAAAACCCAAGCATTACTGAAGGAGTTCCACGGGATGGAACGTGACTGTGATGTTCCCTTGGTCTAACTGAAAAGCACTTGTGCTAACTCCATGCCCTTTGCCTTGACCAGGAAGACTTCTTAATCCCCAGATCAGGTCACTAAGCTGAAGAACATAAACATGACATTTATAAAAGGACAGTGCCCACAGATGCTCATCTGCCACATTAGTGTTTGCTACCAACAACTCCTCTTCCATGATTTAAAGTTATTTCTGAAATTACTCAAAACCTCTAAGCACATGTTACTGAATTTTACCCATAGTCTATTTTAGTACGAGGGCAGACATAAGAGCTTTAACAAACTCACAGGCAAAAAAAAGGCTTGATGTCTGCCAGAGACCATAACCTTTACAGGCTTTCAGTTTGTTGGTTTTCTGCTAGTTTTGTTTGGTTTTTTTAATTCACTGGGAATCCCATAAACAAGAAATTCACCCCAAAGAAAATCGTACACCTTCCCTTCCCCACCCCCCCCCCTCCGTTATTTCTTTTCCACACATGCTGTCTGCAATGAAAAAGCACGGAAAGAGGTAAAATCACACACAGTCTGCCTCTGAATCTCGAACAACAAATCCAATGGGGACAGAAATCCCCTTTCGCGAAGCACAAATAAATCGGGGCACTAAAATCTGTGAACACAAACCGGCGAGTCACCAATTTGCCAAGGAGAAGCCCCTCTGCTGCTCCGCATCGCCGGAAGGATGGACGAGCGGACTAGGGCAGGAAACCCGCTCCGCTTACCTTGATCATGCTGGCAAGCGAGGGAGATGTTCCTGCGGGGCTTTCGGCGGGATGGAGCCGAAGGATCGGCGAGCCCCGGGGGCAGATACAGCGGCGGCGTTGCGCGGGATCGGGGCCGACCGAAGTGCCCGGTGGTGCCGCCGGGGCTGGGGCTGCCGCTCGGACTGCCGGTGCCGGGGCTGCTGCTCCCGCCGCTGCCGGGCTCCGATTGCATCAGCGGGCGAGGGCGGCGCGCACGGCGGGCGCTCGGGGAGCTCGGCGAGGAGCCGGGGGCCGCCCCGCCCCGCTGCTCCCGGCGGCATCCACACCTCCCCCCGCCCGCCGAAGCCTCGGGAAGCACCGAGCCTCCGCCCGCACCTCTGCTGCCGCGGGGTCACCCCGGCCCTAAAATGGCCCCGCATGGTGCGCGGCGCCGGCCGAGCGGAGACAATTCAGTGCTTGTGCTGTAAATCAAACTGAGGGCGACACGTTCTCCTCAGCCAGCGTTAACCAACTCATCGTTTTCTGAGTCATTTCCTCTCGCGTCGGACTCGGCTGACAAACCAACACCTCACACTTAGCGCTCCCATCACCACCTCTGTTGTCCCTCGCCACGGCTCCGGGCACGGCTGGCGCTTAGTGCCCCAGCACTGCCCCACCAACACAGGGAGGGGGGGCACCCGACCCATTTTATCTGGAATTAGTGGGGCTGCCAGATGTTTCCCTGCTCACCCGTGGCCCTAGTTCCATGCTGAAGGTCCGGTATGTGTGTAGCTGCGCAGCTCTGCACGCCACTGCCAGCCACCGCTCCTGCCTCACCTCCGAGTTCTGGTACCCGGCAGGCAGCTGACCGGCACCCGAAGACAAAATAAAAATAAATGTAGCAGCCTGTCCGCTGTGGTGCTTCTACACGTGCCTGCAAAACTAATACAAAAAAGACCCACGAATTTTTCAGAAAAAAATGCTACTGTAATGTTCACAAAGTGCTTACTTTCATCACAACTGATTTTACGTTAAAGTCTCTTCTTCCTTTACTAATGTTTTCATAAAGGTTCTCCCCTTCTAATCTTTAGAGTTGTCGGAAGCCGTTTCACCTCAGTGCGACTGTCAGAAGCGCCAAGTTCTGCTTTGCATGACGCACGTGAATTATTCTCTGTTGTACAGTGCCAGAGATTGGCTACATAAGTAGATTTTCCTGCTGCTCTTCAGCCAGGTAAAAAAACACTATTTAGTGGATTTACAAGCATTTTGGATTCCAAAAGAACACAGGTAAGCAGCACTACCCCAAATGCAAGTTCACATGAACAGTTTTGTTTCAGCAGCTATTTAGGAGAGGAGAAAGATGGAGTGAAAAACAGGAGGCAGAGATAGAAGCAAAGAAACTTCAGGCAGGTACAACTCATCATCAGGGCAATTCAATCCATTCCCAACAAATTATCTTCAGGTTACAACCACAACATAGGAACAGCCAGGCTGGGTCAGGGCAAGGGTCCGTTTAATTCAATATCCTGTCACTGACAGTACACTATAATAATGCTGCAGAAGAGTTTCAAGAGGAGAATAAGAACACTGAGACACTTTGCTCCATATACTCTTTCCACTATACACTCTTATCCTGAAAGGATTTGTACCACATCAGCTTCCTGAAAGATGAATTCTCGAGGCTTAACAGTTCCTCATGGCTTTTTTATCTATTAATTTGTTCCTTGAACCTACATAAAATTTTATATCCTTCAGATCTTGTGCTCATCAATTCTGCAGTTTAGCTCTGTTCTGTAGAAAAACGCAATTTTGATTTGTTTTGAGTTTGCCACTTGAAATTCACCTAATTCTTAGTTTTTCTGATACTGAGAGACTGTAAACACAAATGAAGAGCCCTGTGTGTAATTTGTGATTTTACAGGCGATTTAACAGTCAAATCCTCTGTCAGCCATCTCCTTTCTCCAGATGAGGAGTTCTAATATTTTTTGTTAACTATAAAAGAGTTCAATAACCTTGATCATCCATTTAGGATGGGGGCATGAGCCACACAACACTCTCAAACAGCAGGTCATCATATTTACTTTTAATTTGCCTTTTCCCCCCTTCCTCTATTTCTTTTCATTATAGTTCTGTTTCCTATTTGGACTTTTCATGAGCACTAAAGTGAACTGATCTATTTCTGAACTACTTTATTCTAAGATTTCTCTGCTGAAAGGCAACACTTCATTCATAACCTACCCATTTATATAAATTCAGTTTGTTTTTTTTTTCTATGAGAATAATTTTATATTCACAGATATTATTATATCTTATTTTTACAATCATATATTCAGTTTCATGAGATCCTGCTGCAGATAGCCCTAGTTTGGCTGAATTGTTTTACCTTACCCTGAAGGCTTTAAATCTCATCAGCAAATTTTGTCCTTTTTCTGTTTCCCTCAATTTCCCCTTCTTTCAATTACAGACTCTCTCTTCTGTTTCTCATCTTACCAAATTAAAGAGAGAAACCATAAAAGTGCCTTTCTTTTCTATAAGCCTTTGCTAAGACATTTGGAAATCAAATTAGATTGTATCCATTGGATCTTTACTTCCTTTGAAGGAGTTTATAGATATATAATAGGTCGGGATTTCCTTTCAGAAAAGTCATGCTGAGCCTGCTTCTCAGTGGCATTTTTATCCACATATCTTTTAGCATTTCTTGTTTCAGATAGTACATTTTCTCCAGACTCACTTCAGCATCCTGAATGCCTCCACAAAAAAAAAAAAAAAAAAAAAAAAAAAAAAAAAATTAAAAAAAAAAAAAAATCAATCCTGTTTGAGTGCAATTTGACTGTTTCCAGAGCTCAGTCTGAACAATCAGCCTTTTACCTAAGTTCTCTGGAATATGGTCCACCACAGAGATGCATTTCAAGTTATCCTTAAACTGCTGCCAGCTGCTGAGGTACAGAGCAGAATCCGTGGCCTGGGCAAAACTAAGAAATAGGAGAAGGAAAGGGAAAGAAGAAATATTATCTGAACTGCAGAGGATTTGTGCAAAGACAAACCACCATTTATTACATATCTATGATATGTGGGAAAAAAGATCTTTGTATTGATCTTTTGCTTTTATTCAGGGCCAAACTGGCCTTGATCTTGCAAGTAAAAGAAAAAGAAGACCAAAACTCAGAGAAGCTGTAGAACTTATTTTAAAAGTTGCATTTTGCTTCAACATCCCCATACCTGAAGTTGCCATTACTAAATGTGCCATACAGATGTGTTTTTGCAGAGATAGCTTGCATTACTTCAGTCTAGTTGCAGCTCTTTATGTAACACTCCAGAAGTTACAAGACAAAGGACATTAAATCTTTACCTCTAGTGATACACTCAGTTGCATTGATCCATCAGTAAGAAATTACATTTTCCACACTCTGAGTATTTAGTTTTCATAAAACATTATTCATTTTAACACTAGTTTTTCCATTAACTCCAAGAATTCTGTGAACGCTTGACAGCGCTGTTAAACTTTAGAAGTTTTAATGAGTAAATTTTTCACACATATGAAAGAATAAGGTAATTTGTATGCTCCAAGTCCAAAGTGTTTCCACAAGTTGCAGGGATTCATGAGGTGAAGAACTTGAGTTACATTTTCCATACCAGATCTGAATAAATTCAGCTTTAAACCACTGAAATATGAGGAACTACTGTTGTGGAAATGAAAAGGTAATATGATATAAAGCCAAATGGGAAGTGCTAAAAGAGGAAGCTTGTAGATCTATAATTCTATAAGGATAAAGAGCACAAACCCTTCTTGATACACTTTCCAAGGTTTCCTCTACAACCCTGATTGTATCCTCTGAAGACGATAGGGTGAAGGTGGTAGAAACCAGGTTTTCCACGTTCTGTGATTTTCTTTTTCCTTCTGAAGTGGCATGAAAACTTTCCTGTAGAAAAACGTGGAGAAACCAAATTTGATTCAATCATTTAGACAACCAAATTTGATTCAATCATTTAGACATTTAGGTATCATTTAGACAAAGTCTGTGCTTCAGTTTGATCCTGATCTTTTTAAACTTTCAAAGTTCTTTGTAATATAAGCCCTTTTGAAATGTGTTCCAAAACTTATTTTAAAAAAATAATTGCATCTCTTCCAGAAATACCAAAATATGATGTTTTAATCTTTTTGAAATACTTTACTTCTATGCTAGCTTTTTTACTAAAACTCAATCTTGTATAGTTTCTACAACTGCATGTAAGTGCAGTGGCACAAATATTTGAATAGGGAAACATCAACTTTCATCTACAATATTCTTCAGGGAAAACCTGTGTGATTTCAGCCACAAATCTAAAACACTTCAGAACGATTAAGAAGGTAATTGGAATACAAGATTTCCATATAGCTGCATTGCAGATGTGGGAACACAGTTATGGAAAACTTTTAAAGTGAAGGAAAGACAAACCTTTGTTAAGAATCAGGTTGATGATGTAGAAATTTCCTAAGAGGAAAGAAATGAATAGTATATAATTATTACATATATATATATATATATAAAGTATTATGCAATTACACACATATATGTGTTCAGATATGAACAAAATGTTAGGGTAGGATGATTTTTTAAAAGTTTTTATTTGGGGGAAGGAGAAGGCCTTTAAAGACTGGCGATTAGGAACTACAACAGCGAAGGGAGAAGCTGATGGTTGCAATTACTGGTCTTCCTTTTGGAAAAGGGGGAGAAAGGACTGTTTGCAGAAACAGAAAGATGAAAGCACCATGGTCTGTCTCCTTGTGGAAGGGCTCGAGTGGGATGCAAGATTTCAGGGGATGTGGTTTTAAGATCAGCCAGATCTTTTTGCGGCAGCACCTTTGGTCGGTGCTCATTTCCTCACTTCCATCCTCTCGTTGTTTTCCCTCCTCCTTGGCTGTGTGCGGGCTCTGCTGTAAAACCCATTAGCAGAGCGATCTGGGTGTAAAATCCCAGATAAAAAGCCCGAGAGTAGGAAGCGATTGTCGGAGATGCTGAAGGGCTGAAAGCGCCTCAGCTGGCGCCCTCACAAAGAGCACGGGCTGCACAATTATCCTCACAGAAAGAAACATTACCAACCAAGAGTCGGGAGAGGAGATAAAAGGGACAGCAGCCACA